AACCGGAATTACAGACAGTTGTGAAATGCCATGTGGGTGCTGGGAGTTGAACCCAGGTCCTCTGGAAGAGTAGTCAGTGCTCTTTACCACTGAGCCATCTCTCCAGCCCGAACCTCCCTTTTCTAAACCCTTCCACCTGAAGATGTGGCTGCCCGTGCGTGGCTCCTCTCTGATGAAGCCTCCCCAGCTAAGGAGGGCGGCACTAGCCTAGCCAGGCTGGAAGGCTGCCTGGGAGATGGCACGAAGGACACTAGCCAGCCAGCCTGCCTGCCACCGGCCATCCCCTGTTTTATCACCTAGCTGAATGCCCCTCCCCACAAGTCTTTAACCTCTCTGGACTTCATCCTCCACAGAGGATAGAGATAACCGTGGTACTTGGGGCTGGAGAGAGAGCCCAGCAGCTATGACTGTGTGCTGCGTGTGGAGAAGACTTGGATTTTGGTCCCCAGCTGTTAATATTAGGTGACTCACAATACCTATAACTCCAGGCACTCTTCCAGTCTCCCCAAGCATGTACACACGAGAATGTGCACACACAAATAAAATAAATCTTTTTTAAAATGAATGGTGCCGGGCAGTGGTGGCGCACGCCTTTAATCCCAGCACTTGGGAGGCAGAGGCAGGTGGATCTCTGTGAGTTTAAGGCCAGCCTGGACTACAGGGTGAGTTCCAGGACAGCCAGGACTGTTTCCCAGAGCAACCTTGTCAAAAAACAAACGAACAAACAAAACAAAACAAAAATCAACGAATGGTACTCAGCTCATTCTGTTATAGAAAATGTTAAGTTAAAGATGCTAATAATTCATGTAGATCATAAATTAGCAAGCCCTCAATACATACAACCTAAAACTCTGTGCTCTGTTGGTAGAGTTTACGTAGCAGGCATCAAGCCCTGGCTTCTATCCCCAGCACAACATAAACTGGAAATGGTGGAGCAGGTTTGCAATGCCAGCTATTGGCGGGTAGAGAGGAAATGGTCAGAAGTTCAGAGTCATCCGCCTTCAATACAGAGTCCCTGTGTAAAAATGAAAACAAGTAATAACACCCGAAAATGCTATCAACAATAAAATGACCCAGCACAGAGGTCGTAGAGGCCTCAATCACTGAAGAGTCCCCACTGGGCTTAACAGCTCTGAGGAGAAGAGGTCCCTAGGATGCCCCCTAGGCATGGAGCCACCTACTTATTCAGGCACAGAGCCTCTGGGTCACTTTCTCCAACCCCCATGCCTACAGTAGCCTGCCCCTTGTAGAAGATGCTTTGGAACAGGCAACCCCATCCCTGGTCCCTGCCCTGCTTCTCAGTAACCAAATGTCCTTGAGCTGGGCTTTCCTGGCTGCAGACTCCTCATCTGTGAAGTGGGCAGAGGAGTCCCTGAGCTGCCCTGACTTCCTCGGTTTTGTAAGCTCTGGTACATGCACGGGGCAAGCCTGGCCAGAGCTGGTGGTTTCTCTCTTTTCATCCTAGCAATCCAGCCCGCAGGGGAGGGCAGTTGTCTGTGCTTTGGTAGTCTTTACTGTCCACCATCCTCAGAGGACTCGAGGTGTGAGTCAGGAGGGAGAACAAGGGACCTGGCTGAAGGTCTGGGGTGTATCTCTAGGGCGTAAGCCTCCATTGAAAGCCTTGGGGAGACCGGTTGACCAGAGCTAGGGTCCAGGAACTATCAGAGGCAGCTACATACAACCTTTGATGGAGCCATTGACTCTGCTCCTGGTAGGCAGCTGAAGGCATTCTCAGACTAGCCTTTAAGGACAGATGATGCAGCCTATGTGTCCATCACTGGCAAAGCATAAGGGCAGATGTAGAGAGGAATAGAGCGTGGCATGCTTGGCTGAAGTTCAAAGCAGGTGATTTCAGATGTACAGGGCCTCGTAAATGGATCCCACAACATGCTTTAATATATCCCCAAATGCTGGGTGCTTGCCAGCACACACAGCCAGGGCCAGGGGCAGAAGTGCAAGACAGAACACTCGCTGGTATGCTCGGTCCCCAGCACTACAAAACACAAAAACAAAAGCCATCAGGAGCCAGGTTGAAGGGGCTCCCGCAGGGCAAATGCGGAACAAATTGAGCAACAAATTAATTAAACACAACAATCAGAAATTAGTAGATGCATAGAAGCCCTGTGAAACAGATGGGCAGCCAAGAAGGGCAGCCTGTATTATGCAGGGCAGTGCTGATTGACTTCAGGCATTCGGTCTGCAGCCATCGTGAAGGTGGATGCCGCAAGGCCCATCCGTGGACGTCAAGGCCATGGCAATGGGTGGGAAATATTCAGGAGGCAGCTCTGCCTTGCCTGCTCTTAAAGTGTGTCCCCACAGAGTTCTTATATTTGCAAATGAGAATAAAACAAAACCAGCAGTAATTATATGGTGGAAGACGCCAGCACCACACTGACAGAGTGATCACAACAGCCTTCGAGATGACTGCGCACCTGCCAGGAGCACACCACCTGGGCAGGCTTGCCGCCGAGGAGCTGCCTTCCCACCGATCATGAAAGGGGCTGGGGAGAGTAAGGCCCGGGGTGGGACCAGACATTATTATGGAGGAAAGCTGGGCTGTCTGTGGGCTTGCTGATGCCGTATTTCTTTGCATTTTGTTCTGTTTTTATTCTCTGTGCTTGTATTTATTTTTGTGTTTTTAAGGGGGGTTTTCTGGGTTTTTTGTTTTGTTTTGTTTTTGAGACAGGGTCTCTTCTCTATGTAGCTCTGGCTGTCCAGGAACTCCAGGTGCCTTGGGTGTGTTTTGAGAAAGGTCCTATTATCTTTGGATAAATTGAATGGGTGATCATTTGAAACTTGATTTCCACATTCTACACATTCGCATTTGAGACCCCTGCTTGAGCATCCAGGGCACTCCCACAGGCATGTGACACAGGGGATGTGGTGTGGGGAGTCCTGATGATGTCAGACCTTGAGCCAGGGTAGCCCTGAAGGGCTGTTGTCCCGTCCAGGATCTCAGCAGCACTGGTCTACAGGCGGGTGGAAGGAAGCCCGGTACATACTCTATAGTCCTACTCTAGGGACTCCTCAAGGGCACAGGGAACCAGGTAATGGGACAAGGAATGCTGCTGCCACCATTGATGAGAAGCCCACGTGTCGCCATGTGCCGCCTCATTCATCAATTCATGTACACAATATGTTTTGTTCTTTCTTTTTTTTTTTTTATTAAATTCTGTGTAGCTAGAGTTTTTTTCTCTGGGTCCCACCAAGCCCCAGCAGTCCCGTAGCCCACTTATAAAATAAGCATACAGACGCTTATATTATTTAAAATGCTTGGCCATTAGCTCAGGCTTACCATTGTCTAGCTCTTACTCTTATACTCAACCCATTTCTGTTGATCTATATGTTGCCACGTGTTCCGTGGCTTTACCTGCTGCCTTTACATGCTGCTTCCTGGACGGCAGGCTGGCGTCTCCTCCTCTCTGCCTTCCTGTTCTCTCAATTCTCCTCTCTGCTAGTCCTGCCTATACTTCCTGCCTGGCTACTGGCCAATCAGTGTTTTATTTATCAGTCAATCATCCACAGCAGTTCTGTTTTATTTGTTTTGCACATGGAGGTCAGGACACTTTACTGGAGTGGGTTCTTTCCTTCCCTCACGTGGTCCCAGGGATGGAATTCAGATCCTTGGACGTGCAGCAAGTGCCTTTACCTGCCAAGTCATCTTGCCACCCTCCCCTCTCTGCCTTTTTTGAGACAAAAGTCTCGTGTAGCCCAGGCTATCCTCGGACTCCCTATGTAGCTGGAGATGGTCTTGAATTTTCTGATTCTCCTGCGACTAGCTCCTAAGTGTTGAGATTATAGGTGTGTGTCACCCAGTTGGCTCCTTTCTGGGGACTGAACCCATTCTTCGTGCAAGCGAGGCAAGCACTCTACCAACTGCCTTCTGTCCCCAGCCTCTACAAGGGCTTTTTTTTCTCAGCCACTGTATGGCAGTATATCCCACGCCACACACACCCTTCGGTGTGTAAACACATCGAAAGTGTACAGTTCGGCGGGCTCCGGCATGACATGTCACTAACGTAAAACAGTGAGCTACGGGCGCTGGCGAGATGGCTCTCCCAGTGAAGGCGCTTACTCCCAAGCCTGACCCCCTGAATACAGTCTCAGAGACCTGCAGAGCGAAAGGAGAGACCGATTCGGGAAGCTTGTCCTCCGACCTCCACACACGCTCACTGGCCATTTTTAACTATTCCCAGTGTCCCGCCTGGTGGCACTGGCTGCTCTTCATAAGACCGTGCAGCCATCCCCGCCATCTATTTCCAAGCTGGATGACTCCCCCGACCCCTTCTTCCGGCTTCTGGGAGCCTGCCCTCTGCTGTCTCCCTGAGCTTTGTTCTAGATGCCAGGTGGGGCTGCTGTGCCTACCATTCATCAGCACAGTGTCAGCACAGCACAGCACAGTTGATTCATGCTAAAGCGTGTATCCGAATTTTGCTCCTTTTACGGCCGAGTGCTATTATTCCCTTACATTCATATACTCTATCCCTTGGTGGATATTAGGCTATGGTGAATAGTTCTCCTGTTCTCTCCATGTAACAGGAGTTGAGTACCTATCTTGAATTCTTTTAAGCCTGTGTAAGAATAAAATTGTGGCTTACATGGTGATTCTCTTTTTGAGATGCCTGATCTAATCCCCCCTCCCCGCCCCGCCCACCATAACTACCTGATCATTTTGAAACAAGGTCTTGTGTAGCCCAGGCTACCCTCAGACTTACTGCGTAGCAGAGTGATCCTCTAGCTTCGGCTTTCCAAGTGCTGGGATTACGTGCATGTGCCCCCCCAAGCCCAGCCTAGGTCCTTGTTTATAAAGCTGCTTTTCCACATGTGGCTGGTGAGCCCCTGATGATCCCCCCCCCCAGGGATGGGACCCCTGAGCTGAGCCCATACATGGTGGCCCATGAGCAGCAAGCCCCTGCCGGCTCTGCATGCCCTCAAGTCTTCCTGCTTTCCCAGCCTGCTTGCTCGCACCCCTCTAACCTGTCCCCTCCTCTTCCCAACAGATGTGCCCGTGGAGAAGCTGGCCACCATGCCAGCTCTGCGCGTCATCAACCTGCGCCTCAACCCACTGAGCGCCGAGGTGCGCGTCATTGCCCCCCCACTCATCAAGTTTGACATGCTCGTGTCTCCCGAGGATGCACGGGCCCCTCCGCCTTAGGACACCCTCCTTGTGCTCACCCGACAAGGGACAAAGGCTACTGGCCTGCCATCCTGAGAGGAGGGAAGCCTGCGGGAAGGCCAGGCATGGGGAGCGGGAGGCGGGTGGGACGCAGCTAAGCCAAGGTAGGTAGCTTAGCACTGTAGTGAGCCCTGGCGAGAGCCCCGGAGGGAGAAAGAAGCCTAGGTGAGGCTAGAGCCTGGGCTCAGGCTGCTCACAGCTGCCCTGCTGACTTAGGTAGGCTTCTCTCTCCAAGCTTTGTTCCTCGGAAGGAGGAAGAGGAGTGGAGAGTCTTTCCTGCCTGGGTTCTGCCTCCACATCGTCAGACACCTTCCAAGGATGAGCCTCTCATGGGCGCTTTATGGACCTTATGATCTGAAGAAGCCTTGTTTCTAGTGTGAGAGCCAATCACCATCCTGAGACGAGACCACCTCCGACTATTTGTCACCTTCTGAGGACCGAACGCAGTCCTTCTTCTGAAAGACACCCTTCATGGTGCCATGTCTTGGCCATCAGAGTACCCGGACTGGTTGGAGCCTGAACTAGGAGTCCGGATGCCCAGACCCTGTGGCTGGGTCCTGTGGCAGGAGAGTATGATGAGGAACCCATAGACATCTGGCCGGGCTACAGAAGGGCAGCTCCAACGAGCTCCTCCTTCCTTGTACAAGACAAGGGGAGGAAGTTCTATGCGTGCTGCTCTGTGCCTCCCTGATAATGGGCTGATGTGGCCAGACATCGTCCCCAGGGCCACAGGAGAGGTGGCCCAGAGAAGACAAAGCCATCTGCGCCCGTGACTCTGACCTGAGGTCCTTAGGTGACCTCCTTTACCGTGGCCTCCCTCTGGCAGCAACCTGGTTGCCTTGCCCTGGTCCAGGACCACCATCCTCAAGGCTATCACCATAATCACCAATAACCTGACATCTCAAGGACCTTTGCCTGTGGCCTAGGGGGTAGCCAGAGAGTAGGGTGTCCAGCTATCCCAGTATACTCAGAACTGTGGAGTTTCCCAGGAGCTGGCTGGGCCCTTGCTCCCCGGTAAGGCCTATACTTGGGGACATCCCTGAATCCCTCAGTCTCCATGTGTCTACCTTCTCACCTGAGCAAGCAGGCCTATCAGCTGCCCTGGCCCTGGCTGGCCTATACCTTTGTGTAGGTCTGTGAAAGCCACGGAAGTCCAGGACACAGGCAGGGCTGGGCCACTTTGTCTCTAGGGTTTGGCAGCTTGGAACTGACACCACTGTTGAGAACAGAAACCCATCACAGAATTGTCCGAGTCCCTGCCTGCCCTCTCCCGGTGCTCCTGGCTCTGGGTAAGGATGCCACGGGGGCATTGCTGGTACCACTGAGGACTGTGTATCCCAAGAGAAACCTGCCCATATTCTGCTCTCATCCCAAGGCTAGTCAGCCAGATGAGGAGGTGGACACGGGGACCCAATAAGGGCTGGGTGCAGTCCAGACTGGACTGGCTTCTCCCACCCTGTGTCCCTGAGTTGGGGATTTCACCTTACTGAAGAAGAAGCGGGGCTTCTCTGGGAGGTAAGAGGCATCCCATGGTTGGGCCAGCCTGGCAACTCCAAGTGTAGACAGGCTAACCCTGGTGTGCTGGAAACGGAGCCTCCGGTGGTGTGCGCCTGTCATTGGAGCGCCTGGGAGGCTGAGACTGGGAGTGTAGGTGTGAGGCCAGTCTGTACCACATAGTGAGAGTCTATCCCAATGCAACCACAGACCAAGTAAGAGAGATGAAAGAGTGTCGGGCATGGTGGTGCCCGCTTTCAATCCCAGTTCTCAGAAAGTAGAAGCAGAAGAGTCAGGAGTTCCAGACCAGCCTCGGCCTAGAATAAAGAGACCCTGGGCTCTGTGAGACCCTGTCTCTGTAAAATAAAAGGGAAACTAAATGCAGGCTCTCAGGCCTCACACCGGCTCTCTGAGTCAGAGCTATGTCTTAACAAGCACCCATAGCCAGTACTTCAGAAGTGTCACAGTGTGAGAATCCGTTGAGGGCCTGGGTGACCTGGGCATGTTCTCATGGTGCAGAGTGAAGGTCTCCACCACCCCCCCACACACACACACACTCCCATGGATCTGAGTATATGCTCAGACTCCCACTAACTCAGCCCTGGGAGACCCTTGCATCTTAGATCACTAGGCGATGGTGATGGTTAGGGGTGTCCTGTCTTCCCACCCCACCTCTCTGGTTCATCCCTGCATGCCAGTGCTCCTGGACATTGTTCTCTGCGCTGCCCAGACATTATGGTCTGGCCTTTCTGGGCAAGCTTGGTCAGAAACCTCCAAATCCAGGCTCACAGTGTGCAGAAACCCTTCACTTCAGTCTACAATAAAGGATGGATGTGTTAGTCTCATCTTCCTGGGTGGTGTTTGGTTTTTAGTTTCATTTTCTTTCTTTCTTTCTTTTTTTCTTTCCCAGTGTGTATGTGGTATTTGATTCATTTTCCCAGCACAGACTCGGGATCGGGGCTGGTTGTCAATCTGCCCACCTTTGAAGGAGACGCCTCTCTGGTGGAAAGCTTCAGTTACAGAGTTTGGTTCTCTAAGCAACAGCGGCTGTGGTCATTAGATCAGCTGGGCTTGCCTTTAAGAGTCCATCAGGAGTGAGCTGTGGACTGTGGGCGTTCCCTCAGAACTGGGCTTG